GATTTCTTGAAACAAATAAAAAATCGAATATTTTCTTTCAAAATAAACTTTAAGTTGAGTTATTCAATTTCCTCAATCAATTCTGCATCTGTTTGTCCAATCACCCAGTTGAAAAACCTATAAAACGGGTTTTTTTTTGTTCGTTTGTTTGTTTGTTACTAAGAAGTCTGATTAAGAAGTTACTGAGAAGTTTAAAGGATAGTTTCCATCAGAAAAAAATTCTAAATGCCTCATTATTAAAAAGATATAATATTTTAATTTGAAAGAATATATTTGAAACAGATATCGTTCCTTGGAATATATATTGGGAAAAAAATAGCAAACATATAATATAAATTTAAAAATTTAAAAATTTGAAAAATATTTTACAAATATTTTATATAAAAAAATGCATTGGTTGATTGAAATAAATCTCACAGAAAAATATACATTTATGAAATCAATAAGTAATATGCTATAATAATTTAAATGTAAACGAAAAAAATTACCTCAAATTATATCCAACGGCTAATTTTTTAAAAAATTTGTTTGAAATTTTATAATTTAGTTACATGGTTCCTCAAAGCATTTTGCTTATTCTGTCGTTTCATTCAATCCTACTATTAGTTTACTCTCTCCCTATTTATATATATAATGCTTGTTAATAAAATACCTTCAATTCATTCATTGAAGTTCAAATACATCTTTTTTAAACTTGTAGTGGATGACACTTGATGTTAATATAGTTTTCTTGATGTTAATTCATTAATTAAACTTTATTTTTTGATTTTAAATTTATTCTGTGTTATTTCGGTTGAAGTTACAACTAGCTGCAACAGATGGCGCCAGTACGTTTTTCTGACGAAGTAGGAATTGACTTAAATATTTTTTTTATTATACTTGTATTACTTTATTTTTACAAGCCTCTTTTTGAAATAAACTAAAATAATTATTTGATAAATATTGTATTTATCTACGTATTATAGAGAGAACATTCATAATAAGGAAACATAAACTGTAATTTTGTTTTTAACACATACACACAGATTAATTAAATCCACATTTGTTTATGATTATACTTGAAAATGTAAATGTGTGCATTTAAACACATTTTAAATATTATCCAGCAAGTGAAACTAATAATATAAATAATATTCCGCAAAAAAGTACGAAAATATCATTAGATTAATTAATTACTAAGAAAATTGATTTTTGAACATAAGGGACATTATGAATATGAAAATAAAGGTATTAACGGAAAGCATGCAAAAAGAAACATGATTGTGTAAAAGGACATGTTATGGAAATTTGGATCGAAATAAAATAAAGAAAGGCTAATTTAACCACAATAAAAAATCCTTAATCACTTTTAAACTGATTGCAATATGTTTCTCAGTTAAAATCTTAAGAGATTAAGTATTATCAAAACAAGTAGGAAATATTTTAATTAAATTATGTATTTAAATATCTGTATTTTCATAAATTTATTGCTTAGGGAGCTGTTATTAAAAGTGAATAAAATTAATTCACAAAATTAGCTTTTTATAGAATTTTGCAAGAATTCAGCAACGGTAGTTTTTTCGTAAAATATTTATATTTCAAAAATATTTAATACAGAGTTTAACAACGTACAGAAATCTCTAAATTTCACGTTAAGAAGAATATTGAGAGAACTTTATTATTTTATTTGGATTTATAAAGGTGAGAATTATTATTTTAAAGGCTTGAACTATTTATTTTCACAACAAAATTTATATTGGTGAATATAAAATATTTCTTCATTTAGTTATAATAATCTAAGTTTTATTACTAATCAATCACAATCCATTCACTCTGTAGCAACATTCTTCAAAATAATAAAGCTTAAAAAGAAAAATGGAATAAAATAAGCATAATTTTTTTTTGAATTTTGTAAACATTTACAATGATTACTCTTTCAGGGATATTTTCTCCAGTTTTAGTAATATTTATAGAGTAATAATAAAACATGATTTGCATTAAACTGCTATTAAGAGTCTATAAGTATTGTTGTTTACTAAATAAAGTTAATCGTGCTCAAAACTGATTGGAAATACTACCTTTCTCTCAGCACTACTCCATCAGATACTGTTCACATAATATCACAAATTACTTTTCATTTGCACATACTGATTATGGCTACAAACTCATTTTAGAAGTCTCATGGTGTATTTCTCTTGATTCATCGATTTCGATAAGGCGTATCGATAAATGTAACAAATCTATGTTTGTAACACGCAATCTCACCTAAACACTTTCATCACGCAAGAATGATGAAAAAGAAAAAAAATCTAAAAATTCTTATAAATTCTTTTCTTGTTGAATACTAGATTCTTTCGATAGAAGCAATAATTTAGAGTTAGTTATAAAAATACATTAGCGTATTTTTATACTCAAAAGATGGATTTTTAAAATTTTCTTTTCTTTTCTTTTCTTCTAATGGGCTGCAAATTGGCAACACTAAGCCTTTACAGACAAGGTAAAATCCCAAATGTGTGAATTATTTCATAGCGGCACCATCTAGTGGGGGAGGGTTCTTGCTATCAAATTTTAAAGCTGGAATTGAATTTTAATTCAAGTTATCGTTAAATGCTAAATATTGACGTGATTAATTCTGCCGAGAGAAACAGAGCCAAATTGATACTCAAAGGATCTTTTACATGCCCCATAATCATATGACACATGCTCCTACGATTTACGCATCCAAAAATTCTATGGACTCCAGCCGGGATCAAATTCGCAATTATGGCCTAACGAAGCTGGCACACAATCTCTATGTCCGGGCCGATATTTTTTTTACACTATAGAAATTAATCTAAATTAAATTTAAATATGGTGACTACAATTAACTTAATTGCAACCATTTATTTAATACTTAATTAATTATTCTTCAACAATCTTGCAACCAATATTTACTGTAATTTTGTAAAAATAACATAAGCAGTTGCTTATTCCGCAATTTTAACTATTTATATATTTAGCCAGTTAACTTCTTATACCCTAATTTTTGTCAAACATTTATTAAAATATGTAGATGTTTATTAAGTTTTTCTTTCTTTGTCTTTGTCTTTTTTTTTGTGGTTTGTCAAAGATACTTGAAAGTTAATACAATACAAATTTAATTCGTTTTCATGCTGTATTTCCGAACAAACTGCTTTGGCGGCTCAAACTGTTGCAGTTTTTTAAAACTTGATTAAATATTTGATTTATGTTTTTTAAGTAAATTTATATGAAAAACAAATGTTTTGTAAAGTTACTCATTTTAGCATGTATTAATAAATTATAAAATCTTATATTTATCAACTTTCTGTAATAATCTTCCCAGATACCTTGTTCCTTTTAGAGCTTACCCAAGACATTCGACTTCTTATGGTTGAATGCAGTTGTGAAAATGATTTCTGATTCAGTATTTCATACAAAATTTGTGGCCTTTTCTTCTTATTTTTTAATTCAAAAGATAGATACATAGTTCTTCACCCTCTTATTTTTTTCATAATTAATAAATCTCTAAATGAACTAAAAGTTTTCAAATGAATCAGAAAATGAAACATTCTATTAGGAGAAAATAGAATGACTAGTTTTATGAAAAAGGATTTTCATTGAAAAAAATGTGATAAGCATTATCTAAAGTTAAAGACAACAGTTTTTCAAATTCGACTATTTTTTCACTCAACTGATATATTTTTTGTGAAAAATCGTAACTTTTTTTTATCACATTTTCGTTTGATTACATTTGTTTTTTTCAAAATACATATGCATTCAATAGCTACCAGTAGGGTGGATCTTTATTTTTTTTAACCCTTAACTTCGCAATTTTTTAAATTTCTATAAAAAAATTATATCAGCTAGTTCTCAAGTAATAATAAAAGGGAAAAATATGAAGAAAAAAATTAAACAGTTTTAAATTGAATTTCAGTCTTTTTTTTTTTTTGTTTGTTGCAGAAGTCCAATATTGCGCAGTAGTGCTGTAAATTACAAAACTTTTTTTTATATGATTCATTTATATTCATCATAAAATGTTTAAATTTCTTACCTGGTAATTTATTTCGTCAATTAACAAGAGGAAGGGCATAAAATATAATGGATTTTTTTTATAGCCAAAAACACAGTTCTTGAGGCATAAAGAGATTTTTATAATTGTTGTGATTTCTGGAAAAAATGTACTTCCATCTAGTGACAAAATTAGCATTATTTCGTTGCAGTAATCTTTTTTTCTCAGATAAGTGATTTGTAGGTAATTAAAAAAATAATGAGTCTGTTAAATTAAAATAAATCATATGTTGCAGAAATGTAACAGTGCGAAGTTAAGGGTTAAATAACTAAATCTTTATTGTATAATAAAAGGAATCGGTCATGGGGGGGGTAATTATTTTAATAATTCATTTAAAAAGACCACAACCGAAAGATAATTTGGAGCGATTTTTTCATGAAACAAACAAAACAAATTCCCTTTATTAATGACAAAACTCAAAATCTCACGTATCAAATTCTTTATTAATATTAAAGTGAAGTAGAAATACTCGAAAAACATTATTTTGTATATAAAATCACCGGGAGAATTTTGAATATACATGAAAACAAGAACAAATTTTAATATCGAGAAAAATTATAAATATTTACAATTTTGTATATGAAGTAAAAATATATTTAATTATTTGTAATGTATTTAACAAAGATGGAGCAAAAATTAGAGATTTTAGGTCCTTTATATATTAAAGTTATTTGGTCCAACTAAAAAACAATACTGTAAAAGCACGTAATATAAAAAAAAAGTTTTTCAAAGTCACTCCTTACTTAGGTAAAAAAGAAAAAAAAAATTTTAGTTACTTTTTATTGAATAATTTTACAATTAATATAAATATATGTATACATATGACAGAATCACAATATAAGTGTCAAAATAGAAAACGATTTTCCATTTTCCTTGCTATACATGGCGTTGGACTATTATTTTTGTTTGTTACTGTTTATTCATTCATAAATCCCATTCTCAAAAATTTGGCCATCCCAGGTAGGATTCAAACCGACGCCTTTTGGATTAGAAGTCCAACGCGCTATTCGTTACGCAACAGGGACTCAACGAGTGATTTTCCTTTTTATATATGCTGTTCGACTATTATTTTTGTGTGTTTTTTACTATTTATTCATTCATTAATGAATTAATATTTGAAAAACTGTATTAACATCAAGTGTCATTCACTACAAGTTCAAAAAAATATATTTGAACTTGAGTTAATGAATAAAAAGTATTTTATTAGTGATTGAACATTTGAACAATATATATATATATATTTAAATATATATAATTCAATCACAACCCGATAATCAATCAAAAAATCGAAACCATATGAATCCTATAACATTAAATCCCATTTCAAAATATCAATCGCGATTATAGAAGATAAAACTCCAACGTTTTCAAACAAAATTAAAAAAATTTTAAAATGAAAATTTATAAAAATATCCAAGTAACCTCGGGCTTAGGACCGATAATTTGGGGGTTTAAAATAGTTTAACCCCACTTTATATATATATATATATATATATATATATAATATATATATATATATATATATATATATATATATATATATATATATATATATATATATATATATATATATATATATATATATATAAATATATATATATATATAGGGAGAATGTGAACTAATAGTAGGAATTGAGTAATTCTTACTTTGAATTTATTGTGGTCTCGGTAGCCTGGTGGATAAGGTCACATGTTCGAGTCCTGGCGGCATTGAAGACCCACCATGTGGGGGCAGTGCACGAAAAATCTATCAAGGCTCAATGTCTTTTCGTTAGTGTAGTGTGGTAGTTAGGAGAGGGGGTACTTGCTCAGATGTCACCCTCGTCACTTGATTGAAATTCAAGAATTCCGAAACTGGTCCTCTTGTTGCCTTACGGGTGTGACGTAAATAAAATTATCTTGTTACTTAGAATTTATTTTCAAATGTCACTTCACAGTTATCGATCGAAATGGCGTAACATTTACATGTAAATATTTCTTTCGACACTTCCGAGAAATCTGATTGCTTTTATTTTCGATAAAATGAATCGACTTCATCCATTGGGAAACATAAATGGTCATGTTTTTTCTTCTTTTTTCCTGAATAACATCCTTTCCTCTTAGAGTATTGTAACGAGGCCTGTTCTTAGGGATTACTTCTTGATTGCTTCCAAAGCTTTCGAAATTATTCTACTGTCGCATAAATCTAATTAGTACAATCTAATCAAATAAAAGGTTTTTCCTTTATTACTGATTCCTGAAAGGCAACGGCATTTCTAAGGCAATGATAATTGAATTAATCTAATTTTCATTGGACTTAATAAAATTAATGTTTTCATTTTCAACAGCGTATTGCGTATAGTAAAAATTCTGTTATGTATTTTAGGATTGTATAATGAACTAATTCGTAATAATAATGTTTATTAAATGGGCTGGTAGCAGCTATTGTTAAAGTTTAAAAGCATTTAATCATATAATGTTCATTGAATCGGAAAACATACTGTTATTTTCTTAATTGAACTTTTCATAAAGTTATACAATTAATATCGTTAGCACTTAAGGAATAAAGCATCGATTGTCATCTATTGGGAATTTTTTTATCGTATGTTCTTGAGAAAAATTGTTTGAATAGTAATTTTTTCTCATTAACTCATTTTAAATATTCATTTCAAATTTTATATATGTTAATTGAAAGAATGAAAATACACTGGTGTTCAGAATTAAGAGAATTTTTAGATTTTATCGTTTTTCTCTCTCTCTAGAACTGCTGGACAGATTTTAATGAAATTTGGTATGTGTATAGGGCTGATATAATGCAAAAAAAATAACTATTCAATAGGTAAAATCCGCATGCATGATCGTGCATAACACTCATCAAAGTTGGAAGGTATGAAACAGTGGTTGCAGAATGTAACAATAAAAAAGTTGGTTAATAGGGGGTCTGGGCCTCTCTTTCACATAAACAGGCCTCACACCATGATTTATGAGTTCCTGTGGCAGTTAATCCCATCCGTTCATCAACTCTGTTTCCAAGCCCTGGATAGTTCTTGAAGGGAAGCTGCAATTGCACTCCCCACAGTTTCCCAGGGATGCTTTACACCAGGGGTACTCACCCTTTTTTTTTTCTGGACCACATACATATGTCAGCTATTTCACGCGGGGCGCATACACATGTTAGTTATTTCACGCGGGCCGCAACATGAGGATAAATGGGGCAGGGGGCGGGTATAATGGCTTAATAATGCCATTATACCCGCTTGCTTTAAACTTTGATAAATGCTTTAAGACCAAGATAACATTGGAAATTTAAAATGTGGAAAATTGATTAATATATTATAATTCCTGTTTAGCTTTTTTTAATTATTATTTTATATATTTTTTATAACTTTTTTCACTAATATTAAATTAGAAGCATTTAAGAAACACTCCTTCACAATTTTTGCATCAGTAAACGGTTTCATATGATTAACAATAATATAACAAACAATAATATAACAAACTTCATAGGATGTCTTTGTCACCGCTGTGGTACTACCACTGACAAAACATGGAGTTACTGTTGCAAAGATTATTCAAGAAAGCCTATTTATTATCTCTTCAAAGAGATCTTCGAAGAAAAGTGTCATTGAATGATTCCTGCTTATTGGTATTTTTCGTGACAAATCAAACTATTACTAATCCCCAAGTTTGTTTTTCACTACAAATAGCCAACCTTCCAATCATCTTGAAACGATATATTTTCTTCGAATATTTTTCTCTTGCAAGATATGAAATATAGTTAAAAATTAGGTCCACCCATAAAATCGTCGCTAATCTACTGCGGTCTGTTATCACTAACCGTAACCGTTCGAAATAGACAAAGAATATCAATTGGTACCCGCACGACACCGACAGCAAAAAACAAAATTGATATATTTGATTTATTGACAAAGAATTTCTTAACAAATTTTTAATACAATGTTCTTAAATAAGTACATTTCTCAGAGAAATAGGCCATGACCGAGCCACTTAAAAAGGCTCGGAGGGCCACATGCAACCCGCAGTCTGCAGGTAGAGTATTGCTGCTCTACACGGATGAAGTCTGGAGATTTAACTGGCCGATTCATTCTGCGAATATCTTCACCTACCCAAAATTCGTCCACTAGAAGAGCTCTATGGACCTCATGCTGTCATCCATTAAAATAAAACCAGGTCCAAGCAAGCCATAGGGCTGCAGGACCTCATCCCTATGCCTCACAACAGTCACAATGTCTTTTTCAAGGACATGGAGATGTGTGCAGTCCTCCAACGTGATGCCTACCCAGACCATCAAGCCTCTGCTATCCTAATGGACATTGGATAGCAGACATTGGACATTGGATAACAAACATTGGACACTGGAGGTAAGGTAGTAGGTCCCTGACTCTCTCCATTTGAAAGTACGGCGAGAAGATATGGAGAGAAGCAGCTGAAAATCGGTTTGCTGATCATATGAGATTAACTGCCACAAGAACTCATAAATTTCCTTATTTTCGGTATAAAATCATGGTGAGAGCTCTGTTTATTTGTGAAAGGGAACCAAATATCTCCTATTAAACAATTTGTTGTAGTTGTATTAAGCAACTGCTCTGTTTCCGACTTCGATAAGTGTTACGTACGAACACGCGTATGTATTTTAAGGTATCCGACTACGTTCGGAACCGTGATTTTAAAAAGGCACATAAATGGATAATTTCCATGATATTTAGTGTCACTTAGATTATAATACATGTATAAAATTGTTTTAAAGATATATTTTGACACAAAAAAATTATTTAAATACAATATCTCGGCAAAAAATTAACTTAGAATAATCTTTTTTCAAAATGTTCTCCTTTTGTGAAAAATGCTTCTATAATAATAATATTTTGCCTGTATATAGCACAGACCTCTGTACAGAGGCTCAACTATGAGTTTTGAAAAATTCACATTATTTTTAGAGTTACAACCCTTTGAAATAATTATCGGCGTTTTTTTCTTAAAATTTCTCCCCTCTGTTGCCGTAAAACATGATAAACCCTCTTCTAAGTTATATATTTCAAAAATTCTAGTTGAGCCTCTGTACAGAGGTCTGAGCTATGTACAGGCAAAATATTATTATAATAGAAGCATTTTTCACAAAAGGAGAATATTTTGAATAAACGTTATTCTAAGTTAATTTTTTGCCGAAATATTTTATTTAAATACAATTTTTTTGTCAAAATGTCCTTAAAACAATTTCATACATGTATTCTAATCTAAGTGACACTAAATATGAAAATTATCCATTTATGCGGTTTTTTAAATTCACGGTTCCGAACGTAGTCGGATACCTTAACTGTTGAATTGTTATTTGTTAGCATTATATGCTACATACATACCAAATTTCATTAAAATCTGTCCAGCAATTCTAGAGATAATCGACAAAATCTAAAAATTCTCTTAATTTTGAACACCAGTGTATAAGAAAATTGCACTACATAATATTATTTTGAGTGCTTAAATTTAAGTTAAATTTCCTAACAGAAAAATTAAATCACTAAACAAAAATTAATTGGTATTGGCAAAATTCGGATAATTTAATTATCTTTTGTAGAACAGAGAATCATTAAATCGTGAAAAAGTTGAGTTTTTGCCTAAAAAAAAGTATTAGAATTTTATTTTTTATTTACTCTTAACTTTATCCCTTACTTTTTATTTACTTTGTAAGCTTTAAATTTTTTATTCTTTTTAGTCGTCACTATTTTTTTACTTGATGTTACATAAAATGAAACTGTAAATGCTTTAAAATTATATTAGTTTCTAAGTTCTTACTAGTTGACAACCGGAAGCGGAAGCGTTTACATACATGCCGGAAGTGTTATTATTGTTTTATATTACTTTTTCCGTGAAGATTTTTATCTCTAAACTTTCTTGAGCTAAAGGATGTAAAAAAGAGCCAATTTTGAAATAGCTACATTTTTTTTTCGTATAATTCTGTGTACAAAGTAATAACAACAATTCTAAATTATCTAGTATTTGCGCATTGGATGTATTCTAAAGAGCACAC